CCCCCCACCCCAAGAACTCATCTTCATGCCGATGGAAGTTTAATTAGAAATCAAGGAAGCTCGACAACTGTTATAATAGTCGCAAAGATTTGCCAACGGGACAAATTTATAAATAGACCACTGAGTTTGCCAGTGGGTTATTTCGGAAAAGTAATCTAGTGAAACAGCACACAGGTTAGATCGATCCAATACTCAGCAAGTACAACCATAAGGGTTTAAGAATCACGCGTTTTAAAGTGAAGTCTCATTACCAACTTAAGAGAGACTGTAAGCAAGTGGTTATTACGTGCCCACGTACATTTACTTTTACGCATAAAAGTGGCAAATAATTAAGGCAAGCCGTATTTCAACTTAACGAGTATGCTTTAAATCACTTCGTTAAATTGATCTTCATTCTCAAAAAGTAAGTGAACTGACCTTCGTGCCTTTTTTTGGAACCCCGTATCGATAACTCGAGGAAAAAAGAGCGCCTTTTTTCTGCTCATCATTACCTTTGCCCAGGCTAGACTATTTTTTTAGTAAAATGGAGTAGAATTTTAAGTTTAATGTCCCAAGACCATATTAAAAGACTCGTCTATCAAAACGATAGTGCTTTTTCTTACTTTGTTTAGAGAATGTGAATATTCGTGCTCTTGCGCTCCACGCCATTAATTAATTATTGAATCGCTTGAATTGATAATTCCCTCAATTAAAATGAATACGCATTTCTATAACCTCTCAACTGGTCCCTATTAAGGCTGCAGCTGGTCGGAATCGAGGAGGTGGGAAAGACTACGGTCTTGTCTATATAAATATATTTGTTTATATCTGCTTGAATACGTGGTGTTTGATTGACTACCAATAGTGGCCAATAGTATTAGCGACAGCTTCTAAATCGGTCTAATCTATCCAGGTGAGTATTTCTGAATCTAGTCAAATCGACAATCTAGTGCAGGAGAGGTGGAGTTTGTGAGTTTCTCTCAACTGCAACGTAGATACTCCAATGAACTTTCTAATACCTTTCAATCTGGCAAGAAATTACTTAGTTTATGAGCAATTTCGGCTCTCCATATTCTGCACATACAAGCATCATAACGCAGTGTCATCATTCTTTAATACGTCGCAAATTAATAGCTCTTTTGTTGATGACTTAACCTTCAAAGTAATTGTTTCTTGGAATGGCTCTCTTATTGCAACATGACGTGGAATAAAGTGAACAGCATACCTCACGAAATTTCCTACAAAAAATCATGCATAAATTAGTTGTGTGTAAGGAGGCAGCGAGGTACTATGTTGAAACAATGTAGTCTAAAGAAACTTTTCATAAAATTTTTTTTACCAAAATACATATCAGAGAATGAGTGGTGTGGGGGGGTGAGTTATGTGTGGGAATGAGTTCCGATTTCCACGGGAGCAATAATTCTATTAGGGCCTAATTATAGCCTCGTTTGTTAAAGGGGGTAATTGCACGGAATCCCGACGATATATTGCAGTTCAAAATTGAATTTACTCTTTGAAAAGCGAAAATGTGTACACCTGAAATGGTCCGAATGGTAGCGACACTTTCATCTTCTTAACTGTGTACTACTCGATGTGTTTGGACTCCTTAAATCCAATTATTCCAAGGTTGAAACAAAAATTCAGATATGAATAAGGGGGGGCACATGGCTTCCAAGTTGCTGTATTTTATTATTGGCCCTTTTCCAATTTTGTTCATCCCCTCCTGCTTCAAATTATCGCGTTCTTGGACATTTTCCCTTCAATTCACTCAGCTCTCTTACGCTTGAAACAGTTGTACAAAAGCATACATCTGTCGTCGTAAAATGTTAGCGGAATGGTTCTGTCCCATTTTTCGCTTTCAAGGTTATTTTATCTGATAGGAAGAATGTAAATCAACGGAGCCCTTTAGCTGACTTCAGGCTTCACAGAGAGGAAGGTACATCAAATTGAAAAAAATGGAGAGGGGGGAACAGAAGAGTGTTTCAAAGATGTAAGAGACAAACACAAAGGTAGAACAAAGGTGAGGTGAGTACCGTGAAAATAGTCGAATATGGCATAGAGAGAGGTGATGGTAGTTTGAAGTCAGAAGTCAACTGCCCATTGATAGACTTTTTTGCCGTATGAATATACGTTGCCCAGGGTGCACCATGTGGAGGTAAGTCCATCGCACACCCCGATAAGGAGAATGTAAATCAACGAAGTTTGTTAGTATTTGAGAAGAAATTTAATAATAATTGAATGTGATTGTAGAAGTGAGTCCATGTGGAAACTTTTGGCCCTATCATAGTTCGTATTGTGGCATTGGTCAAACTTGGCTCTTGATTTCATAGCCATTCCGAAAATTTCAGGAAATTGGAACTATTCGTTTTTATCTCTTGTTCATAATTTCGCGAATTTCAATTCTATCTCCGTTCATTGTGAGATGCATCAAGTATCGTCATCTTGATGGCTTTTCAAAAGTTTTCAACGATGCAATTCTTTAATTCAGTCATCTCAAAATATTTGATATCTGACTTGCGTTTCATTTTCTAGACCAAATCGAGCTGGTCCTTCGCTGATGTTGAATTCCGTCTTTCTCGGAATTAGTTCCAGTGATATATTTATTGATGACCTGGACACTCCTTTTTCCCACGAAACCGTAGCTCTCCAGAAACGACGAAAGGCTCTGCGACAGCGTCTTCTCTTGCGCTCTCAACAACTTCTCGCTGATTCCTCCAGTCAAAATTCGCCGCTGGTAGAGAGACTTGAGATTGATATCAAAAGCCAGGGACTAGCATTCGGGAAAATCCACTCGAGTCTCGTGGGTGGTCGTGAGAATTGCTTCTTCATCAAAATGCCGACAGGAACCACTCGCATTTTTGCATCGGCTTCTCATGATGAACGCAAATGTTGGCTCACCAGGTGGGTCCCCATGTTAAACACCACTTAAATAATCGAAAGGTGTGTATTAACGTTAAAACAATTTACTGTTTTAACGTTACTTTCCCGCTGGTACTAGGAGGGAGGTTCTATAAGCAATGCTCTATCCACTGGAGCATTAGATGACGCTTTCTCGTTTCGTTAATAAAACCTCTTTTTAATAATTCGACAATTACGCTCATCAACGCTCATCAAGATTAGAAATTGCTGATGACAGTACATATTCCCTTCTGGTTTAAAAATTCGTCCTCACGTCGTTCGCCCCTCGTGAGACACAGCAACTACCACAGACATGACCCCCTGCCCCCTCCCCCCCCTAATATGCAAAATTTCTTTGCTTATGTTAAGCAATCAATATTAAGGAACTGCTTTTTTTGTTTCTAACGCTGTTGCTGCAAAATCAGCTGGTGAAGACTTAGCACCCCATCAAATGTGGGCGAAAATGTCACCTTAGCCTATTCCCGCGCTCTGTCGTCTAGCGATGGTGGCTTGCGTTCGTTCGAGTTGAAGAAAAAAATACACACACAGTGTGTGTGTGTGTGTGTGTGTGTGTGTGTGCCTAACACTCTCACCTCCTCCTCCCCCTCCTCCTCCTCCTCCTCCTCCTCTAGTTCGTGGCCATTCGCTACTTTGCACGCACACACACATTCCTGGAATTCCTCTTGGGAGCTACTTGTTAACTAAGAGGGTATTCACTTAGCTAGAACGCATCTTGGCCAAGTATTTATTTTAAGCTCAAATGAGTTTTTTCCACATCTAAGTTCTTAAGGAGTTTTAAACACCGCAGCTTTGATCGATCGGAGTGCTTGTAGCGTAAATTACACTATCCTGCTTATACATGAAGCCCATATGTGAAATAGCACCTTTTTATTGTACTTAAAAGTAACTCGTGGCTGATTTAGGTCCAAATTTGCACGAAGACCGATGGAGTGGGAGGTGGTGGAAGAGATAATTCCTCCGTCAGAGTCGAATGGAGACTTTCTCCCTCTCTGGATAATTTCCTTCTATTTCACTGTTATTTGTGCTCGACTGCAGTTGTCAACTTCGGAATGCTTCTTTTAAGAGTTCTTATTGTCTTTTAACGGTCTTTCAGCGCGACTGCTCTTGTGCGTCACCAATTTTGTAATGCCTACTTGCCCTTTACAAAAGCCCCCAACCACCAAGATGAAAGGGAGAAAAACTCTAGGCCAAACGAAGTTTTTCCATTGGGAAAATAATTGGAATTACATATCAAATGACAGGCGTTATGATAGTTATTATTAGCCCATTAGCTGACTTCAGTCTTCACAGAGGGGAAGGAAAATCAAAGTGAAAAAAAGTCGAGATGGTGGGGAGGGGGAACAGAAGAGTGATTCAAAGATGTAAAAGAAACAGACACAAAGGTAGAAAAAAGGTGAGGTGAGTTCTGTGAAAGTAGTGGAATATGACATAGAGCGGGGTGATGGTAGTTTGAAGTGAGAAGTCAACTGTCGGTTAATGGACTTTTTCGCCGTATGAGTATACGTTGCCCAGGGTGCACCACGTGGAGGTAGGTCTATCGCGCACCCCATAATTGGAATTATTGAGGGTTAGAAATTTTGTAAATAATTGCCTGACTGTGTGTCCTTACCTATTCAGTGTAAATTTTTGAGCTCAGAAGTTGATAATGCAGGGCTTGAACTTACAACTCTTCGAGTAGGCCTCCTAATTTGACCCACTTATTGTTCTATCGCTAGTATCTATTCTTAGCAAGTGAAATAGACGAACTATTAGGGAATTATCAGCCGCCCAAATCGTTTACAAATTGCCTCATTCAGTAGTAAGGTAGAATAATCCATTTATGAGTAATCGAATTACTGCAAAGCAACGACTTTGCAATACATAGCCCATTTTAAGAATATCTAATATTTGTTAAAAGTAGAAAATGAAGTTTTTTATTTGCATTTTTCTCCAACATGGTGTACTCATTTTCAATTAGCACCAAACCCATCGAAATGACGGAATAACTTCTCTAATTGGTCAACAACGAAAGCAATGTGGTCTAAATTTCATCGCATGTTAATTTCTCACCTTTGGGGCTGATGGAACTTGAATATGAATCAGTGAACTTTGACATTAATTGGATTGCAATGGCCTCAATAGTTTAATTCTATTCGATGTAACTTAACTTTTTTAATTCTGTTTACATTCAGCACCAGTTGCTTGGAATGTCAACTTTAAAACCCAATTCTTGGACCAAAATAAGATAATTGAAATTGAACCCCGAGAAGAAGAAGAAGAGGACATGCATCGTAGTTAGTGAAACGCCTCCCTTCCACGTCCCTCCCCCCCCCCACCTCTTCATTATGACGAGGAACAATTTTCTTGACATCTATTCAGTAATAAGTATGAAGCTTTTCGAGTTTCAATATTTCTCGGCGTTTAAGCGAAATTCTGTTCTTATTCAGCCCCGTTATTATTATTTTCCATTTTCTGTTCTTCCAAATTTTTTTCTCAGAAGGGCCTGTGATGGATCCCTTTTCAAAAAGTATGTGCTTCCTACATCGCGAGAACACATTCCCCTGAAGTTAATACTCGTCGAGGGTTTAAGTATTTACCAAACTGGGTTAAAGTCTTCCTTCACAGGAGATCATCCTAGTTGGACTAAACATGAGTTTGTAATTGGCTATGCTGTTTTCATTGTTTCTGTATTCTTTATGTCTGCACAATTTGTCAGGTGGCTACACTGTAACAGCATATAGAAATGCCCAAAAGTTCCCAGCACCAACTTTGTAGTTTAAAGGTGAAGGCGAGTCGTCAAACATTGCCAAGGTCATGCCATGAAAATGTCTGTTCCCTCTTTTGCCAATTCCATAAAAAAGTAGATCAATAAAAAGAGGCATTTCGAACATTTTTAATATTCAAGGTTGAATATGTGCAAATAGGATCATTTGATCATCCGTCACTTTCAAATATGTGCTATTTTTTGCAAATTTTAACTTTAACATTTCGCTTGAACACCGTGAGTGAGGGGTCAGGTGGGGTCTCGGAGTTCATTTTTTACTTTGAGTTTTGAGAACGACGAGTCAATCGCTTTCTCGTAGGGGGGGTACAACTTCACTCTGCCATATCTATATGCTCCGGGTCAATGTTTTATCTTTTGATCACCGGGTTTCTGGCTGAATACACATATCCGAGATTCAGGGCTGCTGACAAAGTGCTTTTGCCTTGAACATCTGCATTCGCTATGAGCGAACACAGTGAGCTTGAAACTTTTACCTCGCTCACCTCCACTCTGTTAAGTCTGTAAGCTGCTGAGTATCAAGTATTTATTTATTTATTTTATCAAATGGCAGGCGTTTTGATAGTTATCATTTTGCCCTATATTTGACATCGGACTTCACAGAGGGGAGGAGGAACATCAAAGGCACAAAAGTCGAGGGGGGAAGAGTAGAGTGTTTCACAGATGTAGAAGGGACAGATAGACACAAAAACAGAGAATAAGGTGAAGTTAGTACTATGAATGTGACTGAATATGGCATACAATCGGGCCATGGTAGTTTGGAGTCAACTGCTGGGTTAGAGACGTTATTTGCGTAGGAGTATACGTTGCCCATTGCACACCACGTGGAGGTAGGTCTATCGCACACCCCCTGCTGGAGGTCGAAGCGAGTTGAAGTAGTAGAACTCTAGTCGTCATGATCCAAAAGTCGTAATAAAAGCTCCGAGCATAATTGGCTGGTATTTCAAGAGACGAATCATGAGCTTAACGATCCCAAGCATTAGCCGCCAACTTGGTACGACCCAGTTCCAAAAATAATTTGCTGTGAAACTCGTTTGATACCGTGTCGTTGCTCTAGACATCACGCCTTTTTGACCTCTCTATACTTCCACGATTAATTCTGCAATTAGACAGCAAGATTGAACCACAATGAGAAAAGTGGCTGGTACTCAAAATGTTTAGAGATTCCAAAATTCAATAATTAATATGAAGGTTTTTCCGTGGTTTCTTAATTATTTAAAGAAGGCATGGATTTTGATTATTGATTTATTATTTATTTATTATTATTGTTAATTTGATTCTATCTGACGCGCTTGGTTGCTTAATTTTTGAAGCACATTGTAATCGTTCGTTTCTCGATAACTCAGTTTTCACCTGTAAAATCTAACGAAAATTCGACTACAAGACCAGCGGTGCAGACGCTCGGTTTCCTCATGTTTCCACTGCGCCAGTCCATCTTTCCTTTACCTCGTATTTTTCCTAGTGTGCTCCTGTTCTTGCACCTTCTCTACCCAATTCCACTTCCAATTAACGCGTTCGATAATACTCAACGTTCAGTCTTCTGGACTACTGTTTTTTTCAGTTGTTTGCTTAACTCCACCAAATTGTTCGCTCCCTGTACGACTCCCGATTCCCACGTACAAGTCAGTCTTATTGTTCGTTGCCAGCACTACGCTTTTGGGTACTTGTTGGTGTCCACTGATGAAATCCGCGACTGTCTTTGCTCAGACCTGGCTGGGAGTGGGTCGTGGATCTGTACTTCAGTTGTTGTTTTAAAGCTGTTCGCGTTTAACTGCGCTAGTCTAACGGCGGACACACTAAGATAGATTGACTGTGTCTAATCATTCATTAATAAAACTAGCACCATACAGCAAAATCGCGCTGAATTCGACTCCTTTTTAGTGATTGATCTTCTATCAAGTTTTCCTTAAATATTTTTTTTCTACGAAAAGCAAGTGCCCAAATGCAAATGCATGCACAATAATTTGTTTAAATTTATCTTAGTTATTTATCATTGCGAGCCTGCTGCACGCCTTTCGCAGGTGGTGCATCGTAGAGTCGAAGTTTGCACTCCTGGCGTTGCGAGAGAGAGAGAGAGAGTTAAGGAAGGCCATTTGTTGCAAGATGAAGTCAAAGCATGCTGCACTGTCTTTGTTACAGTTACCGGATGATTCATGCTGCTATAATACGCTTATTGAGCCTCACACTCGTTGGAGTACTCTTTTCACTTCCTCGCTTACGTCGAATATTTTTCTCTTAAGTGTAGCAAATGCTTGACAACGTCAGGTTAGGTAGAAGCCCATGCTTTGTGAATTGGTCAAAATTGACATAAACTTTCACAATCCGCCTACCCGCCCACCTACCTGTGGCTACAAATTCAATTTTTTGCTCAGTAGTGGTGAAAGGTAGAATCGGGGCATCGAGATCCCCCCCCCCCCCAATACCTTGTATCAAGGCGTTTTTCCTACTCCTCTACTTACTCTCTAACTGTTTTTAAACCGGAAGTGACGACGCTTAGTAATGCACACCTACCTTCCCGATATTGTTGAGGCAACCGTGTCACAAGCGGTCTGGCAACCTGCTGTCTCAAATTGCGGACAAGCATTAATTGACGCATTCACTGAATCCTTGAATCAGGTCCTTTCTCAATTATACTCGAAATGGCAAAGTTTGGAACAAAATTAGACAGCGCAATGGGATATTTCAATGATTGAAGAATCAGGAAAAACTTCCTCGTTTTGCATCTTAATTTACAGGTATCCTCTCACCTAATTCTTCCTTTCTCATCTAAAGCCTATCATTTGAAGTAACTAATAAAATCAGATATCTATTGGTATTTGTAAATGCCAGCTTTTCTTAAGACATCGATTGGAAAATCGATTTTTCGTTTATTGGTACCTTTGAATTCCAAATTTCGTGGCCCATATAGGTCCCAGATCCAGTTAATTTGATCCAAAGCATATTTTTCATGTTTTATACTGACTTGACTAACAAAGAATTTCATCGTCTGTTGATATCACGACTGGAGAAATGAAAACTGTGATAGTACTTAATTTCCAAACCCATTAATGGAAGAGCTTGACGTCAGCTCTCGTAAACAATTGTGACCTAGATAAGATCACAACTGTGAGATTTATTCCCTCTAGGGTCCTTGGCATTGCTGCATCAACGTGTTTAGTCCGAGAACCTCCGTTGTTGTTAGCGTTTCTTTTAGATCTTTAGGCTAACCCGAAAAATTTAGGGAAAATGACCTATGATGTCTATAAACGATCAATGCCATTAATCGATAAGTACTCATTGTCCATGCTCAATCCTTCTTGCAATAAACAAAAGTTTTACAAATTGCGTTTACATGATGTTATTGTGTTTCGTTTCTTTTGTCTGCTAAACGTGCGGCCCATGTAGCACCAATCGAGTTAAATTGCTTTCTGCTTTCATTCTCTAATTTTCTTCAGAGGAAATAGGGGAGAATAAGTGTCCTATTTCAAAAGGCAGCAGAATAAATATAAGTTGACTCATGACATTGACAAGGGAAAAGTAGAAAAGAATGCGTTCTGCGTGTGTGTGTGTGTGTGTGTGTGTGTGTGTGTGTGTTTGTCGCAGGGTAACAATTCCATGAAGGGGAGTGTTTTGCAGGCCCTTGAAATCGATCTCTTTACTTGTGTATAGGTGAATCAGCGAAGTACGTGGACTGTGTAGCCTCTCTCTCTCTCTCTATGCGCCATTTTAGCCTAACGTTAGACAGCGGCAGAATCCAGAGTCAACCACGCCCTTTAGCAGTCGCAGCACGTCTGGAATATCAGCTCCATCATCATCATCCGAGTTATTTTTAGTCCCAAAGTAGCGGCCGCAACAAATGAATTAAGGACGCACTTTTTAGCCTTCATTTCTGCTACACCTTATTGCCATGCCTCCTTAGTCCTTCTTATGAAGTAAGATGAAGTGTAAATCCAACTTGTCTTCAATTCTGCCAATGACATTATCAGTAGTATTGTCTCACTTGAATAGGTTCCTCTCTCTCTTTCTCCCTCTCTCTTGAGTTCAATTTATTTAAGTTCAATAGACTTAACTCCACGTGGTGCACCCTGGGCAACGTATACTCAAACGGCAAGAAAAGTCTATTAACCGGCAGTAGAATTCTCACTTCAAACTAAAGTCTATTACCTGGCAGTTGACTTCAAACTACCATGAGAAAAGTCTATTAACCGGCAGTAGAATTCTCACTTCAAACTACCATCACCCCACTGTATGTCTTGTTCGACTCCTTCCACATTACTCACCTCACCTTACCTTTTCTCTGCCTTTGTGTCTGTCTGTCTGTCTCTTTCACATCTGTCAATCATTATTATGCCCCTACTCTCGACTTTCACATCTGTCAATCATTATTATGCCCCTACTCTCGACTTTTAGTCGCTTTGGTTTTCCTCCTCCTTTCTGTGAAGCCCGAAGTCAACTAAAGGGCTAATGATAACTATCAAATGGCCCGCCATTAGAAGTATAATAAATAAATATTACCTATCCTCAAAGGTCTCCAATGGCCCAGTCTATGTTAGCAGACAACAACCCCCTCTGATGGCGTGCTTTTGGAAAATATGGCCCTTTTTTGATTTGAGTTCAAGTGGAAACACGTGGTGTAGATGGAGCTGGAATATTCGAAACTATACCACCAAAACGGGTAAAACCATCTTCACGGGTCCTTTTGTTCATTTACGTTTCATCTCCGGTTCGTGCGGGTCACATCCATGAAAAAAAGTGTCCTCCCTTCAACGAGACCATTTCGAGTGGAGGTCTATCGTTAGCACATTCTTTTGGTTATCTTCTATTCTCAAAATTCATGCCATTCTTTTTGTTGAAATTGATATGCACTTGGTCTCAACAAATTATCATGTCCTTAATCCATGACATAGATTAATGGCAATTCCTTGTTGAGTTCTAAGCGCATTGAACCCTAAGCTTTTATAAGGCTAGTGAGAGTCAACGTTACTCAGCTCTCCAGAAGTCCTAAGCAAAATGGATTCAATCTATGGATTCAGTCTATGCTTCATGATGATGCCTCTATTTAAATTTATTCATTTATTTACATTCGTTTTCGTCATTCTCGACTGGCTTTTTCATAATCTTATTTTCCTTTTTATTGACCACCTTTATTCTTCTGTTAACCATCTCGTCAGATAAATATTTATTGCTATTTTTTTATTAACACTAAAACCTTCCTCTCCATCTTCCACCCTCACCACCACCACCCCCCCCCCCCCCCCCCCCCCCCCCTCCTCGTCCACCACCCCAATCCCAACCCCTTATCATGCATCAATCTAATTTATCTCGCCGTAAATAAAGTTAATTAAAATTATTTGATCTTCCAAAAAAAGATAGTTTTTGCCTGCTAGCGAAAATGGACCTAAAACTGTCAAAGCTCATTCTTAGTGGATGGAATGCGTGGAGGGGGAGAGAGAGGTTCTCTGATGTAAAGCGCCAACTCTCTTGTTTCGCATTATAAATGATTTAACCATCGCGATTTGCCATTCCGCTCATCCTAGATTTCAAACCCTTGACTTGTGACCTAGCAAACTATCATTTTCTCAAACAATAAGACGAGGTAGTTGTTAATTTCCTTCCTAATTCAGGAATTTAAAAGCAGTTTGGAATATTTGATGCGCTTTTACTTTATCTTAGGAAGGGTGGGGGTGGGGGAGTGGGTGGGTGGGTGGATTTTAGTGAGTTAGTTTAAAACTTTACTTGCAAAAGAGTGGAGAAATGAAAAAGAGAGTAAACAACGATTGTCTACTCACCTACGCACTTTCATTCAGCTTTAAACACACAAAACTGAATATGTTCGAATGCAATGATTTTGACTACTTTTTTTATTTCCTTGAAAATTTTCAAGAATCTGATTTTAGTTGTGGCAAGGTAGAAGCACACACATGGCTAACTTTTAAATATACCTCCTTGGCAAAATTGCTTTTTTTTAATTTCAGCCTTTATTTTCATTATTATTGAAATTACGATAGTAACATTTATATTGTCATCACTAATGATTATGAATGATGATGCACCGTACATGGTTAGAACTGAATTGTAAGACCTTCTAGCTAATGACTACAAGAACGTGTGTTTTGTTCATCCTTTTAGCTGAATTTTCGGCTTGTAAATCACATGAAAATACTTCCCCCCACTCACTCTTACTATCATTCGCCATTTAAAAGATAAATAGCCCAATTTGAAATGTTCTTTTGATCGTAATAGGAGATTATCAAATTCGTGCAAATCTCTATTCTCCTGAAATTTCAATGAAGAATAAAATGTAAGATAAATGCCTCTTTTAAAGTTGAAATGATGTACACGGTGAGATTCAAGAATTGCCTGCTGGTGTAAAATTAATAAAGCGCTAAGTCGATGTCATTCTGGATTGATTAAGTAAGTATTACGCAAACAAATAGTACCAGCATTGGTTTTCCCTATTTTGATTGGTCATGCGAATAAACCAATAACACACCTGCTTAAATGTAATTGGTTGTGTTCATACTGCTATAGTACCAACCTCGTGAATGCGCGTAGCTATGTGCGTCATAGCCAAAAGCCGCGAACACGTGTGCATTAGCGCGCAGAGCTAACGAGTAGCATTACCTCCACCAGCACACAGTATGCTGTGCTGTGTATCTGTGCCAGTACTCCGATAAGACAATGACCAGTATGTTGTTTTGTCACCGAGGTTCTAAAGCCTCAACACCACCTTCTCCGAGTCTGAAACCGCACGAGCCTTCCATTCCTCGCTATCGGAATTCACCAATTAATAACGAGGATACAGAAGTGTGGCACCTCCCCTCAATTCTCACGGCTGGCTCCTTAGATGAGTTGACGGCTTCTAATTCCCTTCTACCACAGGCACCTGTTATGCCACCCATTTTAGAGGCTCAATTAGAATCACTTGCCAACCGTGAAGCAAATGCTAAAACTAATGGAAGTATTGATCGTTCTTCCTCCAACCGACGCTCACAACAAATGCTCAGTAGTGCTAGCATGCATAGTTTAGTCTCGTCAGTGACAAGTCAGGATTTTAATCGTGGACTTGGTTCGAAGAAGGGTGGTAGTGCTAGCATATTATCTAACGTTGTGGATGGAAATCTTTCGCTTCCAATTACCCATAAAAAGCACCCCCATTACTCTGGACGTAGTCTTCTTTCCTTGAGTCACCATCGATCTGGAAGTAGCACTTTGAGGAAATTACGCTCTTTGGATGTTCAACAATTTTCCTCCCTGTTAGATTTTGAGGAGAGATATAATGACCCCTGGGTTGGGTCTATTACGTGAGTTCCTTTTTTTTAATATTTCCCTTGCAATGGCCTCAATTCTACATTTTATAAGAAGACTTTTACCTAAATCCTTTCTTCCATTGTTTGCTGCCCGAAAAGCCAAGTCTCTATTTAAAATGGAAGTAGTGTTGCACAAGTACTCTTCTTTTAATTCTACGGGGAGTTCACTTAGCTTGATCTTGCAAATCCTCTTTGGATGGAGCAAATAATGCAGATTTCCTTCTAGCATCTTGCGTTTAAACAGAATTACATTTAAAAGCTGAGTGTGTATCTCTGTGTATAAATAGTTATTTCTCTCTCATTCTTAACCAAAATTTAACGATTATTCAAGCTATAAACACCTAAAATTTTCTTCCATATTTAGGATTTCGTGCTGAATTGTTGAAAGGTGTTGCGTCATGCATGCATATGTGTGGTGATTGGGGGATGTTAGTTATTTTCACTGATAAGCTGACAATAAATAATTTCAAAATTTTGCATAGCTTAATGTGATATGTACTCAGCCCTAGTGACGGAAAACGTGAACTCACCATAACTAATTTACCTCAATTATGGTCTCATTTACCAATTGACTGTCGCCTGTCATGCGCACACACTTTTGCCACAGTGAATAAACTCACGTTGTCATGAAAGAAGTTGTATCACTTTAATCATGTTGCAGATTTGGCCGATTAATGGCGTCAGATGTGGGCTTGCTTGCTTGCTTATACCCCCAGACGAGGTCACCGCGTGAATATGTGAATATGTTAGACCTCAATTAACCAATGTGGTTTCAGTCTATTCGTTGCGGTCACGTTATGAACTTGCGCAGGGTTCTAGCGCTGCTATTCGCAGCTTCCACATTTAAACACTCTGTGTGTGTGTTTTAACGATTAAGAAGCCCCAAAAAGAGTCATTTTAAATCGAGCTGACATCCCCTGCAAAACTAAATCATTTCCCTCAAATTTGAGATTATTATTGTAACGCATAGTATTGCAGAAGCTTTAATCATGTAATAGCATCCAAACATCAAAAATGGTCTCGTCGAGCATAGAATGAAGTTGAGTCTATTTCGATTCTGAATAACGTAAATTTCCCTCTTGCACTACCCAACATTTTACGTTTATCGATTTTTATGAACTGGGAGAGTTCAAGTCCACTATACTTGAGTAAATACTAGCAACTTCCACTGTGAATTTGTGAATTGTAGTAAAAGATCTTTTAAATGTTTCCACAGACGAAACAGTTCCTCTGGGTTGCGATCTGCCAATCCAGTAATTCTTGATTAATTGGGCGTTTCTTGTCAAATATTCTATTCTGAAAGACGAACAACGAAAATTTATATAGCATTGGCTCTATGGAAGCTACTTTTCATCAGATAAGACCACCCGCTTAGTTCGTTTAAAATTTATCCAACTCTCTCCCCCGCTCTCCCTCCCTCCCTCCCTCCCTCCCTCCCTCCCTCTTCACTGCACGAGCTGATGTCGAATTCGAAATTCTTTTTAGGAAGAAATTAATTTTCCGTACTCATCGCTTGTAGATTTCGTCATTCTTTGATTTAATTTGAATTAGCCTTGAGGTATCCAAGTTGATGAATAAAAGCACAACTTTATTGATGACTTTCATTGGGCCTGATGTAATAAATCCCCCCTGGGAGATCTCAGTTTTTTTTTGCATTCCAGCCAATGCTTTGAAGGTTTATATCTTTCCAATTAAATTATGCTTTCAATATCGATTTTTCTTATAGCCAAAGCATTGATTTTCAATTGTCTATCTTTCTCTCTCTCTCTCTCTCTGGACATTCCTGGCACCCATTTCCAATGTTGGAGCGCATTGAAATGCACTTCGGCATAGTTTGGCATAGGTCTTAAGAGCCCTTTCATTTATCTTCTCTCAATAACTTCAAGTGTTGTAATATTTTGTTTCCTCTGCATGGCCTGTAGACATCCTGATCGATGCCTTGTTTTTTCGGTAAAAATATCTGTGTGTGTTTTTGGCTTTTAGTTTGAGAAGAACAGTGAAACCGAATTTGGAGAATGAAAGGCATCGGGAGAATTCTCTTTTTCTCTCAATCCTCGAGGCGAAAGGTCTTCACAATAAGCGAAGGCAAGTGTTCCTCGACTTCTTTTTATTCTATTTTATTTATGTCCACAGCAGCACCGTCTAATTATATTAGTCGGTCCTTTTTTCTCCAACTATTATTAATAACAATCCTTAAGCTCACATTCGATTTATTTTCCATTAATTCCCTTACACAATGCATATTGCTGCTAGTCATTGAGTAAATATTTATTGCTTCTAAAATAGGCGAATCATTGATTGTGGATTGATGAGTGTGTTCTTCATTTATTACTTTATCCCCCTGAGCCTGCTAAGGGCGTTTGGAGGCACTACTCTGTACATCTAGATCAGCGATGAGTGTTGATCAGGTGGCGTTGAGTTATCTCTTTTAAGAGGGGCTGCTGGTATCTTCTTATGTTTTTTTATCAGATAATTGATCACTCCGGATGAATTTCACTTGAACACCTCTTGGCTTTCTATCCCATTTGCATGTTGTTCATCAATTTGACTTACACACGAATCCACTTAAGCGTAAGTGGTTTATCAGGCCTAACATATAGGCTATTTCCACTTTGCCATAATTTGTGAACAGTTGCCTTATGTGTAATAATGGAATTGTATGAGCAAACACGGACTTCGATAAATTTTGGACAACTTTTCATCTATTTCCACACATTTTTTTCAAAATTGGGAATTTCAAACTTTCCTTTCGAATGTGTGTGTGTGTGTGGGGGGGGGGACTTTGGTTTATTTACTTAAAAATCTCAAAGCGCAATAAATTTGATAAATAGGACGCGCCTATCTTTCAAATTAATGACGCCATTTTAAAGGAAATAGGAAAATCTCCGTCATCTGAAAAAAAGCGTCATTTTTTGTACTTTGCTCACAAAATCCCGTGAATTTATCAGTCCACCCGGTGTCCTGCTAACGATGTGGATCTAAAACCCCATCAGTCCCCTTTCATTCGCATTTTTACAATTACATTCTGATGAGAGTCTTGTCCATTGATGAATATGCACCTCCTTTACAACATTTATTTAGTTATTTCAAATGGCAGGCGTTTTGATAGTCACCAGTAGCTCTTTAGCTGACTTCGGGCTTCACAGAGAGGAAGAGGAACATTAAAGTAACAAAAGTCGAGATATGGGGGGGCATGCAGAAGAGTGATTCACAGATGTAAACAAGACAAACAGACACAAAGGCAGAGAAAAGGTAGGATAAGTATGGTGGAAGTGATCGAATAAGACATACAGTGGGGTGATGGTAGTTTGAAGCGAGAAGTCAACTGCTGGTGAATAGACTGTTTTGCCGCATGAGTATACGTTGCCCAGGGTGCAACCACGTGGAGGTAAGTCTATCGCACATCCCCATTAACAACATTATTTAAAGTGAAATAACAACAATCACGAAGCGATTCTCATTAGACTGGGCTTTGCCGCCAAAAGAAATGAAATGAAATTATTTTTACTGCTTTTTTGCTTTTTCTATATAAATTTGATTAACTGTACAAATTAATGATTCCCTCCTTTTGAAAGCATTGAATTCACACCAGGGGAGTTTGGATCGAATTCATCTTCTTTTATTTGTGTGAGAGAAGTCAATCTAGCCTCTCCCAAATAATTTGATTGATCCAACATTTATGGAAGTAAATGAATCCCTCTGATTTATTTTAAAGTCATTTATCGTATTTTTGACAAAAAATCTCTAAATTAACCACATGGTATGAGGTAATTTTATGCATTCGTAAAATTTCATTTCTCTAGCTTTTCTCTCATTTTTCTGAGTTTTGGGTCAGTGGTAATTAGATTACATGATTTCAGCTCTCAGCAACAAATTTCATCTCTCGGTCATGGTGTATACGCGCAAAATTCGAGAGTTGTGGCACACACACATACGCGAGCACACACACGCAATCACTCGACTAGCCACATAATAATAAACGTGTAATTTTTTACAAGCGCATGTACTGTGTGCTTCACGGTACCCCCCAACCAACCCCAAAAAACCAGCGCGATTCCCTGTGTGCGTGCGTGCGTGTGTGTGTGTGTGTGTGCTGTTCAAGTAACGTAGCAAGAGAGAGAGAGAGAAGAGAGAGATTGCTTTCTTCGGTGCAAGAAGAGGACCGCCTGTTCCAACAGTTGTCTTTGACAGTCCCAGTCATTCCGGTTCTAATAGTCCCTTTTTCTTTCGCCGTAGTTAGTCAGTTGAAGAAGTGGCAGTGGTGATTCCCTTAGTTAATCCCACGAAAGAGGAGGGGTGGGGGTGGGGGGTTCGAAATTTAATGCCCAAAGACATATCAACCACGAAATAGAAGCATGCCATATTTGCGGCTCTTCATTGACTGGTGAACTACTATGATGACTGAAATGTAACTCTTTACAAATATTTACAAAAAAACACCATTGGAGATTCGAGGCAAGTTCTCCAAGTTTAAGTGCGGTCACAGTAGAGAACGAAACCCTGGCCACCAAGAATTGGCATATGCAATACACACACGATCATTTATTCCATTGTAGAATATTAATCCTCTTAAAAATTTCAGTCAACATTTTCAGTACTAATTCAAATTTCAAAGGTAATTGCATATCTGTTTACTCGTAATAAAATTAATTAAACTTCACAAATTACAAATTATTTCCTAATAAGTCTGTAGTATCATTAATTTTTTATTTTTTTCCACGGCATTCATGCGTTGCACATGAATGCAATAGTACCTTTCACACATATTTCTTTGCAATTTAAGAGGGTACTTAACGGGTTAATAAAAGCTTTAGTATCGAGCATGTAAAGCCCAGTAATTTTTCACTAGATCCTGCCAAAATTGTTGTCACTGTGTGCATTTTGGTGCTTTTCCTACCCTTTTGATTAGCTAACGAAATTGTTCATTTTGGCCTATTGTCGTGTGTGGGGGGGAGGGTGGCAGTATGTTTCGGTAGCAAAGTGCTACATTGTTTGCAA